TAATAAATATTTAGTATGTAAATTGCACCCGATAAAATACTAGTAGTCATAATATTTATTGTTTTTAAGCATAGAATATTTATTTTGGTGTTTTTTTAAATGTTCAATAAATTTGTGAATTAATAGTATTAAATTTTATTAGAATATATATATATATATATATATATGGAATTAAATTATAGATGAAATTTAAAAATAAAATCAACTAAAACAATGCTAAAATTTCAGTCTCCTCAAGTTTGGTGGAAAGACTGTCGGTGCAAATAAAATACTATAATACTTATATCAATGTTTTCATTTTTTGATTAATGAATAAATATAAATTTATACCCACTCTTTCTTTCATTTCTTTTGTCCTTTTTTTTTTATCTCTTTTTTGTTATATCACTTACATGAATCATTATTGTCTTTATCTGTTTTTTTCTCCTTCCACTTTCCAGACTCGGGTATACATTTACTGTTAGGCATGGTTAGTTTTGGACAAAGTCACTAAAAACTCTCGAGGGTCAAACTTCACTGTTTACTTTTTGAAAAGGGAAGACAAAAACGAAGACTCTAGGGTCATAAAATTGCTGTCTCCTACCTTTGGGAATAACATGTATACAACACCGGTCTAACATAAAATCAAGGAAGTCCTTACTTTAAGTCTCTCTCAAAAAAGAAAAGTATTTATATTATTTTTATTATTAATTGATTTAGTATAATAATATTTAGAATGTATTTTTTCTTAATAAATAGAGTTTGAACATTGTTGAAAAATTTTATTTATTTTTTCTATAAGCACCTAATTTTTTTAAAATTATTTTAATTACTTTTATAAGAGTTTCATATTAAAATTTGTTTTAAGTCCAAAAATATATTGGGCCGATACTGTACGGATATCCTACCATTAAAGTTGTTCACTGAATGGTTTAGTTTAATTTTTTCTTCAAAAATGATTCGAATCAAAATGAAAATATGATAGATTTGGTTTAGTTTAAATACACTATAAAATCTAAATCAAACCAAATCAATCTTTTCTTATTTGATTGGTTTGGTTTAATTTTTGTGATTTAAAAAATTTATTATTATTAAAAATCAACTAAAAATATTTGATATTATATTATTTATTTAAAATTGTATATAAAAATAAAATAAAAAATATACACATATTAAAATATTTCGATCACATAATATATTTAATATGAATTCTTATCTTATTATTTTAATATAAATTTTTCTTAAATACAATTATAATTATCATATTAAATAATTTTTGTCATATTATTTATATATATATATATATATATAATTTGTCATTTAAAAAAATTAATTTTGAACATTATAAATAAATCATAATTTTTACTCTAAAACTCACTTTAGTAACTTGCAATTTTATATTAAAAAAAATTAAATATTTTATTGTATATTTGGAGAAAAAATATTTTTTAGTAAATTACAATTTTATAAAAATACCCTTTATATTGGGTCAATTTTGTATACATATACTATGCATTTTGAAATTATTTTTTTTACAAATAAGTGTAATTTGACTTATTTTAAAGTGATTTCAAATTTCAATTCGAAAATTAAAACAAACCATTTTAGAAATTTAAAAACCAAATAAGTGTCGATTATTGGTTTTTTATTTATTTATCAATATATGATTTTATTTTATCAATATATGATTTTTACCAAAACGAACCCTTTATCAATACATCGAACCACTGTTTAAATATTTGGAAGTTGGAATATTTGATTATCAATTAAGTTATTTTTTAAATTATATAAATATTATTTTAATTCTTAAAATTGTTAATGTTAATAGTTTTTGTTTTTATTTTTTATAATTTTAAAAGTAAAATGATCATTATTAATTTAAAATTTAGAATACTTTTCGTTAATGTTTTTAAATTAAAAATAGCTTAAAAATTAATCTTTGTTATTAACTAGTAAGTCTCCGCTAGCTTACGAGAGACATGGATATAACAGGATATATGTAACTGATGCAAGTCTATTTGAATAATAGTTCCTGCTTCTTTAAAAGCAAGAGAATTATATGTCAAGTTAAAAAGCATTTACGATGGAACGACTCACTTTTGGCTCCTGCGATATTTTCAACAATCAAAATATTACATGCAGAACTCCATATATATTGTTCATATACCCTTTTAACATGTCATTTATCAATTTTTAAGCTAAGCAGTAATAGTAAGTACTGATTTAAAATACGTATAGTTTGAGTGATAGTTTTTCTAGGTCATACGGTTTGGGAAATTTCATATTTACTACAAGCCAATGCATGTAAAACGCATTATATATTATGTGCAAGGTTTTTAGTCACAACAGGTTTGGAAATAAGTGGAGAAGAAAAAGAAAGGAAAACGCACAAATTTCTCTAAGAAATCACTTTATTTGATTTCTTAGTTTTTTAAGATTTTCCTGACTTGCAAGTAAATTTTACCTATGCACTAATTTATTTACATGAACAAATTTTAGTTTAATCATGTTTAATTAATTGCTTCAATTTTCACCCATAGGTCATCTCATATATTTGGAATATTGCAGCATTTCAGCGAAGATGTTAAAAGGGAATACACTCTGGATAAAGAAGAAATGGAGACCCAAAATGTGATACTAAAGACTAATCGATCGATTAAGGATGCAGGCATATTGGAAAAGTCCTTATCTCGTAGGTACCCAGATTTGGGGTTTTACGAGGCTCTCAAAGAGGAGAAAGAAAAACTACATGTTGAACTGCATAGATCAAGAACCAATAATGACCCTGAACAATGCAGGGTAATTGAACATCTTATTGAAGTCACAAAAAATGTGGTCAATGTGTCACCTAACGAAAAGGTTACAAAAATTGTTTTCAATGAATCAACTGATTTGATTTCAAGGTAATTTTAAGATACAATTCAAATATTTTATCAGGTAAAGCATCTTGTTAATAAATGCTTATTTATATGTATCATGGTCTAGGCATATGACCAAACAAGCAATAGCCTCTGGGGACCTTGAGTTGGAATCTAGAGATAAAAGTCAATCAGAATGGAAGACTGATCTCTTTGGTTGCTGTAGTGAGCCTTGCTTATGTAAATACCTGAACCCCATCTTGAATAGATTCTATTTACATTTTTAAGAAAAGGTAAATGATAAACCTGTTGGGTCGTGGCTTGCAATTCAACAATAATGGCCTCTGTTTTTTACTTTCTTGTGTAGTAAAACTTTTTCCACCAAGACAGTTGGCAGATGATAGTTGCATTTAAAGCAACGGATACAAGACTCCAATAAACAATAGGTAGAAGAGCTTCAAAGTGAGTGAGAAAGAATTAGGGTTTGTGAGGAAATTCTAAAGAGTGTAGTGTGGACACTTGGGATTTGGGGTACTATTAGTTCTCTCTAAACTACAACAGTAATAGGAGAGAGTTTCATTTTATTAGGGAACATTAAATTATTAGACATCTTCTTTAAAAGAGTGTAAAAAGAGGATTTGTAATTATCGTTATCGTAGTAGATTATGTTTTTAGAGATTTTTCCGTGATTTTTTTTTCTACATTATTTAAAATGGTTTTACATGTTAAATTTTGGTGTTATTTCTTGGTTTATTTGTTAGTGTGAAACTGTGAATAATGACAAGTGGGTCATGCTACCATGTGCTCTTGACAAGCCAAAAAAATTACTAGTTTTTCTTCATTATTTTTGTGCAAGATGCCCTGATGTTTCTAATTTGGATTTCCTTGCAAAACCAAATTATCTTGTTCATTGTAGGCCTGAAGACATGCTTCTTCCCCTGTAGAACATTTTCTTGGATAGCTAATGTGGTTACTAGAGGAGAAACTTGTAAGTTAATTGTGAGTCATGTGGTTTTAGTGGATATGACACTTCATTCTTTACCCAAACATGAAGTTTTGAAATGAACTATAAGTTATAACTGAAACACAACAGTCCAAACTATGATTGATGCAATGCTATTGTGAATCCCGTTACTTATTGATGCCTCTTGAAATTGTTACAGCTCGAAAACGTGCAATGACTAATTTAGTGGCTTATTGCATCTTTTGTGGGTGTTGTTGTTATTCTTGTTGCATGAGAAGGAAATTGCGTAGTCAATTTAACATTGAGGTTGGTTTCCGTTCCACCCCATTATATATCAAACAACTGAGAACTGTAGATACAAAATTATATCCTATTTTTAACCCTTTTGTTTCTGTAGGGAGGTCTGTGTGATGACTTCTTAACGCATCTAATGTGTTGCTGTTGTGCAATGGTTCAAGAATGGCGTGAGCTTGAGCTAAGGGGTTTTGGAGGTAAAGATGTTACCTAAAAAAGCTCACAATATTAATTTAAACATATATTTTCTTATCCCAATTAAGTTTCACTACCTAACGCACATAAAATAAAAGGGATATCAAAAATCTCATTGCTTAAACCTTGTGGTTAATATGTGTGAACTCATTGGGTTAAATTTTTTCCCGACTACTCCTTGTTAAATGTAATCTACCACTTTCGCAGATTGCCAGGAAAGAAAGATGTTTCCCCCTCCGAGCCAGCACATGCAGCTGTGATTTTCCTCTCTCTTTCTCGTGTGTTTATATAGTCACTGAGTGCAAATTAAATCACACGTTTAAGCAGTCACTATTATTACAAGAAAATTGCATCAGTCAGATTTTGTTCTTAACATAGGTGTTTATGAAAATGACACATTACTGATACTAGTAGTATATATGCAGCATTGTGATTTGTGGATACATGGAAAGCAAGGAATTAGAAAGTCAAGGAATATGTGTTGCATACTGATATATAGTATAAATTATAAAATACCATTACGGTCTATTTAATATAAGATCAGGGTGGTTTTAAAACTGTATCTCCAACTATTTAATTTCTAAAGTATTCTTCTAAGGTTTTAAAATATTAGACAATTTATAAAAATACTCTATTTTGTTTTGGTTTTGCGGATTTTGTGAAATATTATAATTATTATATTAAAAATCAAGAAAACATCACAAACTAAAAACAATAAAAATATTAATACAGAAAAATATAATTTAATTAAATATAGTATTGCGACTGAGTAGCATAATACAACAATGAATATAAGCAGACAATAAACCATATCATTCTTCATTCTTTGCATATTACATTGTATGTATGTTTGATTTTAAATTTTGATCTGAGATATTGAGTAAAATACTTGAATTAAAATGGTTAAAAGTGCATTCTTTTCTTGACAAAGTAAGAACATGCGTTGCATTATTTATTATAATGGAGTTGAGTCACTCTATATTTTTATATTTTATTTAATAAAAATATTTTAAAATTATTAATATTTATTGAATCAATTAGTGTTATGATTAATTTTTAAAATCTTGAATTTAAGTTTTGTATTTATCAAAGATAATTAATTTTTAATATTATTTTTAATTATTTAAATTTTTTAGGATAAAACTATCTAATACAAAATATGGAAACGAAAAAATGATTATATATATAATTATTATTTTTATATATAGATATAAATGACTAGTTAAAAATGATGAGTTAAATGTTGAGAATATCATCTATTTAAGACCTTCACATAATGAATTTTCTTAATTTATTCACTCATCCTGTCACTTTCCTCATCTAGGTAAATCAATTATTCACGTAAATTAAATATATAAGTCAATAGCAGAATAAAAATTTCATTTATTTAGTATATTTAACATAACATAATAATTTATTATCATCATAATATTATAAACTATTATAAATATTAAAATAATGATAATAAATATCAAACACGAATATGATCACAATGATACTGATAATAATAATACTTATTTAATTAACAATTTATTATTATTATTATTATTATTATTATTATTATTATAGTTATAATACATGTTTAAGGTAAATTATTATAAAATTGTGATAACAAAAATAACATAATTTATAAAATGAAATAAGTCAATAAATATTTTATAAAATAAAAATTCATTTAAGGTTTGATGATTAAATTGATTAATTTAATAAAAGATATAAAAGTACACTTAAATTTTATAGTAAATATATGTTAAATTATAAATTTAGTTTTTTTTATTATTTTAAAATTATTTCTAATAATTTGTTTGTTAAAAGTTATTTTAATCTTTTAATTAAAAATTTAGATTAGTCTTTATAAAATAGTGATTATTTTTATTTTGATATATATTTTTGAATAGATTTTTGATTGATTTAAAAACGTAAATTTTGCTTAATTCAATGTTGTTAAAAAAAAAAAACTATAGGCTTTGAATATTTTCACTTTTTCACTTTGAATATTTTCATTTTACGGGTTCGAATTTAAAAACCTCACCCTAAAAATGAACTCACACAAGTTTTGACCAAAATATGCTCAAATGATTATTCAATTTGAGTGAGTCGATTATTGTCAAATTGGAAGTTTTTGCAGGTTGGTTTGATTGGTTAGACTAATATTTGTTTTAAATTTTTTGAAAAACGTACTAGATATTTGATCATTTTTTAACAATTATTCTGGCCCAAATATATTTTTTAAAGAAATTTAATTAAAATCTAATAAAATTACAATTATTTGATGAGTAATTAACTTTACAATATATTTTGTGATGAATAAAGTTAATTTAAAAAAGAGTAACTTTTTCAAACTTAATAGAAACATCTACTAGCTATTAAAAGTTTTACCAAAAGTTGCACCTTTTTATAAACTAATAAACTAAACTTATACAAAATAGGAATATACAGGCATTATAAAAATTTAAAAATAGAAATATGTCATAATTATGTAATTAGATAATTTTATATTTAAATTTTCAGTTCTAATGGCCAAAGAGTCAAATACTTACTCTATTTTTTTTTTTAAATTATGATTCAAAGATTATATTAAATTAATTTTTTCATTATAAAATTTAAATCTTACATTTACTATTTAATTTACAAATTTTATTTTAATTATAATATCTTTTACTTTATATAATATTATTATAATTTTAATAAATATTTTTTTACTTAATGTGGGTAGATAAAGTTTTGAGAAGAATAAATTTTAAAATTGAATTCATTCACTCAAACTCGTAGCTGTATGAAATTTCGATTCATATTAACCGTAAACAGCTCATATGTTAATATGTTCGAAACAACTCAAACAAAATTCCTACATGTGAGTATCTCGATCACTTGAGAGAAAAAATAAGAAAAAAAAAATAAGAAAAAAAATAAAAGTAAAAATAAAAAATACGTAAAACATATAAAAAAGAATGAAGGAAGAGTGAATGAAAAATATATTATTATTTAAAAAAAAAAATAAAAGTACAATTAACATTTTTTAAAAATAAAATAGAAAAGGGAGTGTATCTATTAAAAATGGAAGGTGTACATATCATTTGCTAAAACAGAAATATGGGCCATAAGGCCCATGATCCAGAATAAGACCACAAATTAGGGTTTTGTGAACTACCTCCCTTCATAAGTGCGCGGCGACTCCATTAGTTTCTTCAGTTTGGTGTGGTAGGGTTTGGAGCACTAGCTTGTTCGGAACACCAAAATGGTACGTCTTTTCTTCCTGATCTTGATGCATTCTCAATCTCATCTCATGATAGTTTTCTTCATCGTCCTTTATTCATTATACTCGAATTAAATCTTCATTTTTCATGAAATGGTTGTGTTATATTTGAATTCAATGTTTGGTGCTTTGTAATCGTAGGGTAACTATGTGTTCGATTTATGCTTCAGATAACATGTTTCAAATCACGATATTATGGCTATTCGTTTTATAATGGGGTTATATTATGCCTTTGAAGGGTGTACATTAGGCTTTTTTAGATTTCACTCTGCACGATTTTCTGCATTTTTGTGACTCAACATGAGGTTTAGGGTTTTGAATATGATCTGTACTTTGTGTATCAGTAAATATTTTTTTGCTGCTTTCGGATCCATTGATACTACCCTCGGCTTTGAATCCCGTTTTTAATCTGTGTTTTAGTTTTAATTTTTAATTTTAATTTAATTCTTATGTGTTTTACAGGCTAGGGGATTGAAGAAACATTTGAAGAGGCTCAATGCTCCTAAGCATTGGATGCTTGACAAACTGGGTGGTGCATTTGTAAGTGATAGTCTCATTATTTTTTTGTCCAGTTTTGATAGCATTATTTTGAAGACAGATGCTAACCTTTCTCATTCTTTATAGGCTCCTAAGCCCTCATCAGGACCTCACAAGTCCAGGGAGTGCCTTCCTCTTATACTCATCCTGCGAAACCGGCTGAAGTACGCTCTGACTTACCGTGAAGTCATTGCTATTCTGATGCAGCGTCATGTTCTTGTTGATGGCAAAGTTAGGACAGACAAGACCTACCCTTCTGGTTTTATGGGTATGTTTGTGGCATGCCAATTTTTAGAATAACTGCTTGTTACATGTTATCTGACTAAAATATGTTACGGTATTTGTTTGGGGTTGGTGTTAATAATATGCCATAGTAGTTTATTCTTATTGATTTCTGAGCTTGATGAATTTTGAGTCTGACTCTTTCAGCAAACACTCTTGAAGTCTGTCTAGGTTGATATCATGTTCTAAGATATAGTTTGTTTCACTGGGTTACAATAACACTGTAAATGTTTGCCAGTGTTTCTAATTTGGTCCAGTGGCTTGTGAATTTATCTTAATAAATTGTGAGCTTTTAACCTGCCTCACTCTTTGTCCCTTTCAAAAAGGAAGTCTTTGTCACTCTCAATATTTGTTTCTATAATTCTATTGATTTGGCTGGAGGCATGATTTCATTTTAAAATTTACATCTCTTTCCAGATGTTGTATCAATCCCCAAGACAAATGAGAACTTTCGTCTGCTCTATGACACTAAGGGCCGATTCCGTCTCCATTCAGTCAGGGATGATGAGGCGAAGGTATTTTTATATGTTTATACTGAATATTTTTATTCATCCATTCCTCTAGTCATACTTATTATATTATTATTCTATTGTTTTATACAATTGCAGATTCTGAATTCTCTTTGTTAAGTTATTGTAAATGTCGAGTTCCAGATTTGTGTAGTTGCTTGTTTGAGTTAATAAGTTGCAGCCTAGTAAATATTTGATCTGTCCCTACTTATTGACCATTGTTTCACTTGTATTATTTGTATATGGCAGTTCAAGCTCTGCAAGGTTAGGTCAGTGCAGTTTGGCCAGAAGGGTATCCCATATCTGAATACCTATGATGGTCGTACCATCCGTTACCCAGACCCCGTCATCAGGGCCAATGATACCATTAAGCTAGATCTGGAGGAAAACAAGATTGTTGATTTTATCAAATTTGATGTTGGGAATGTAGTTATGGTGACAGGTGGAAGAAACAGGGGGCGTGTTGGAGTGATCAAGAGCAGGGAGAAACATAAGGGAAGCTTTGAGACAATCCACTTGCAGGATGCCACTGGCCATGAATTCACAACCCGTATGGGCAATGTGTTCACCATTGGCAAGGGAACTAAACCATGGGTATCACTGCCCAAGGGTAAGGGTATTAAGCTATCAATCATTGAGGAAGCTCGGAAAAGGATTGCTGCCCAGCAAGCCACTGCTGCATAAACCCCTTTCGGATGAATAGACTTGAGTGCTTTGGTAGTTTTATTTAATGTTTTTGGTTTCTAAGTTCTTTTGTCTGAGATATTTTATCCGTTGAATTTTGACTCATGCACTATACAACTTTATTGTGGCTGCTATATTCATGAAGTAATTTTTCCATTTCGTAGTTTTGACTTGGGCTGTGGTAGTCTAAAATAACTAGATCAAGTCCCACCCTAAAAAAATGCTGTGGTATTTGGAGTGGGATCCTGTAACTATTGAAATATGTTTTATGATTGTTTGCGTGTTTTTTATTAAATACTTAAATGCACAAGTCATTGTAGTAGTAAGGAGATGTGTTTTGCTGCGACTACTTATATATCATTGATTTGCCAGAATTTTCTGCATTTCTCAGATGTTATAAATAATACGCCAATTTGATCTATATTAGTTCCAGATAATGAACTTTTTCACACGTAGCTGTTATGACGGAATGTACTTGTTTCTCATTGAAACTTATTGTATAAAGGATTAATTAAGAAATGTTTTTTTTTATAAATATTTTGCAAGGGTGAATTTTAATTCTTAAATTTTATTGTATCAACCGTAGGGGATACTACGGTTATTATATTGAATAGTTAATATCCTTTCATACGGTTTTTGTTTAATGCTTTCATGAGATTGTGACGTAAGTTTTCAGTGGCAGAAATGTGGCAAACTGGCAACGATGTTTTTCAATATGAATTTTGGCTATTTACCCAATTGATTGCAAAAATAATTTTTTCTAATAACTATTTAGATTAGCCAGTTTATTAATTTCTCATTGAAATTTTATCCTAGAATCAGTTGTATCAAAGATAAAACGTATTGTTTTTTGCAAGGATGAATTTTAAGTAAATTAAGTTGTATCAACTGTAGATGTTATTACGATTGTCGTATTGAATTGTTAATACCTTTTCATTTGAGACTGAGGTAACTTTACAATGTCAGAAATGTTGTGGCAAATTGGCAATGGTTTTTTTTTTTTCAATATATTTTTTAGCCACTTACCCAATTAATTGCAAAAATAATATATCTAGTAACAATGGTTATTTAGATTAACCAATTTATTAATCTTTGTTGTATTAAGTAAATAGATTGGTCGAATTAATACGAAATTAGGTAGGTTGGTTGACGTATAAATAAATTGTCCTTATTTATTCTTAAGTGCTCAAAATACCTAAATGTGATATAAGAGTAGAATAAAAAATTGCTTAGTTGTTTAAATTATTTAGATTTCGATTAAAATAAAATGACAATAGATTGTAGAAGGAATTCGCTTTCAATTTCATTTAAAATTTTATTATCTGATAATTTGAAAAGTACTCAACAAAATTATGGTATAATATCATGTTTATTATGAATTGTCTTAATTTAAAATCGTTGTCTTTTTACGATACATCCACTTATTCACTAACCTCTTACTCGGAATGTAACTAATTCTTCATGATATTCTAATTAATTATTTTTATGCATCAGATCAATTTTTTTTATTAACATTTTGTATCGAGAATTTTCACAAATTTCAAATATTATTTCATTTTTTTAAATTATGTGCTTATCTTCGACATTTATATCCCCACTACATTAATGATCTAAAATAATCCAAAAGTATCTAATGAATTCTAAATCGAAAAAGGTGTATTACTTTTGACTTAATTTAAAAATGTTAAAAAAAATAAATTAAGTGAATAGAATAAAATGATAACCAAACGACATTAAATAACCCGAGCGATATTTTATGTTGATAAGTAAAAAAATATTACACATGTTAAAAATAATTATATACTACACGAAATTACCTCGAGAAATAAATTATCTCAACAAAACATAGATATTGATATATTTCTATTAATTATAATTTTACTAATGATGAATAATTATAAAAAAAATGGTTTAATCAGCAAAATGCAATAGTTCATCATTATACAATTTATATAAATTTAATTTTTGTTACAATAGTTTAAATGCATAAATATAAATAAACAAATTTAATAACTTATAACTTCCTTGTGTTTTTTTTTATTTATAAAAATGAAATATGTTTATGAGAACAATTATAAAATATTTCTTTTATTAATTATATTTTTTGAATGAATATTAAATAAAAATAAATAAGTAAAAATATCTTAAGCTGTTTAATACTTTATATTGTTCCGCTTAGCTAATTAGATGCGATAACTTTTTCTACTATAAAAGGAAAATGCAATGCTCATTTTCCTCAAGCAAGACGTGGTAACCCTTATTTTAGGCTCTTAAAAAATATTTTATATTAATATTTGTATAATTTTTTATTATAAATTTTGTAATTCAAAATCAAATTTTACATTCTTAAAAATTTATTTAATGAGAACTCCCTAAAAAGGATATTATATTAATACTTATATAATATTTTAGAGACTTTCACTTAAAAATCACTTTTTAAATTCTTAAAAATTCAGTTAAAAAAATCTAAACATAATTTTTTTTTCAAAACTCGTCTTAAATATTTATATTTTTTTTATATCAAAATTCACTTAAAAGATTTAAAGACATAATTATTTCTTTCAAAACTCATCTTAAATATTTTTATTTCTTTTATCAAAAGATATTAATTTTTAAAAAATCTCACTTTAAAATAAATCTTCAATAAGATTTATTTTAAGCCGGACGGACCCTTTCCTCAAATATAAGAATGCTCTGCCGTGTAATGGAAAGTTGAATAATCAGTTTATAAATAGTATATTTAAATAAATTTCATATGATAGATAATCCTTTTTTTTAATGTAAAGATAAAAAAAATAATAATAATTACTTTTATTTTTTTCATATAGTAGAATCAATTCTTGAATATTATCCAGACACACCAAAAATGAACATACTAAAAATGTAGGTACAGTTTTAACTGGCATTCGGTAAATTCGTCGCAGTGTTCTTATCCTAGTCTAGGTGCATTTAGAAGAAAAAATTTTAAGTCGTTTTTATCTTTTTCTGAATAAAACAAACAATAATTGATCAAGTAGAAAATAAACTGCAAATTATCGATGACCAGAACCAAGTCCATGTTTATTTTTATTGATCCAAAGTTCAGTTCCACCTTCCAGCAAAAGACATGAAAGTCACCTTAGATATAAGCAAGATACACGAGACTAGAAAGGCTAAAATATAATCATCAAGCTGCATGTCCCTCGTGAAGCAGCATCTGATCAAAGTGCCACACACCTGAAAGTCCATAACAAGGAGAACAAATTAGAACACCTTCCCTTAATAAGAGGAAAAAAAACTCATGAAAATAAGACAAAGTAGCAGAATGCGAACTTAAGATACACAGCAGAATTTGAAATTCTTACCATGTCCTTTGCCAACTCTCCTGAGCTGAGCAACATACTCGGATAATCTTTTGATAGCTTCCACCTAAGAAGAAAACCATTTAAGATTAGACTTATTGAGCTTCCTAGCAATCTTTTACCAAATGCAATGAGAAATTTTGGGAATTAATCTCTCACACTCCAAAAAAATTTGGCTGCAACACCAAATTTGTGTTTACCTGTTCACCCAGGAACTCACTTTCCACAAAGTCTGCCAACTGCACGTCACCGTTCTTGTTGGCAACCTGTCAAATGTAAGGAACTTCCATTTTAACAATTTCTTTTGTTTATTTATTTTGATGATATCAGTTTAAAGATGTGCGAGATCAATGAAACAAAGCACAAGCTGCAAAATCAAAAGTAAGATCCAACAAACTTGGCTTACACTGTGCAAGTTAAGGAGCTTTTCGTTCGTTAGCTTCTCTAATGAGAGAGCGAGTTCCATTGCTGAAATAAGAGGAAAAGAAAACATGTTTAACTGTGACGAATAGAATCCCGTTGAGAACTTCATAAAATCAGCGTGCGACTACATAAAATCCTTGTTTCACAAAATGAAAACAGAGTGGCTTTCAATTTACGGTCGCACAACATTCATCCATGTAATGCATAAATCCAAATCATTTTGTGTTTCATCATTAGAAACTGAGAATCGTATCAAATCATGCAAGCATCCAAATATTCTAATTTCTTAAAACTACGCTCCACGTTTTTAACACATGCTAGTCATGCAAAATTCGAGAACAAGTAACTGTGTCAAAACTGCAAGATCTCAAGGCTCCATCAGGTTCGATCCAAAAACTAGATCACACGTCAACTCTTCAGATTCAGAAAAAATTGACAAGCACTAGTTCATCACAGAAAGGTAAACAAAACCTGGTTCAAATTATAGAACACACGCATCTAAATTCTGAACAGAAAATACAAAAAATGAAAAGTCCAGAGACACTAACCATGCAGCGCATCTCCCTTCTCTGCATGATCAAACTCAGAAAGCGGCATCACAATTGACTGCAGCTTCACTTTTCCACCACGTTTATTCTGAAAATAAATAAATAGATCAAATAACTCACAGCAACACACACAACAACAATTCAACATCAACATCACTCAATAAGTCAAAGTCAAACACCTGATACTCCATGAATTTCTCAGCATGCTCTCTTTCCTCTTCACTCGATTCCTTGAAAAACCTTTATCAACGATAATCTTCAATAAACTAATAATCACTTCTAATTCAACGAAAGATTTCAAAAATAATCAAACCGTTACTTACTTAGCAAGACCTCTCAGCGCAACGTTGTCTCTATCGAAGTACGCAAACAGAGCATGATAAACATACGAGACATTATACTCCACACTGCATCCAAAAATAGTAATTATAATCAGAGCGAGAAAATAACGAAGTGAAATAAAACCGATGAGAGAAAGAGAAGCAACTTGATTTGTTCGTTAACGGCAGCTTCAGATTCGTCAACGAATTTCTGGCGTGCGAGAGAGGCTTGTGGAACGGTGGGAACGAGATCGAGTTCTTTCTTCACCTCCTCGAACGGTTCGAAAATAACGCCGGTTAAGGCACGGTGGTTCGTGGATCCTTTGGCGGCGAAAACCACCAATCCACGAGCGTTTTTCGCGCGAACGGAAAGCGAACGCGAAGGTTCGGCGTTCGGGCTGAAGAGAGATAGGGACGAAGCAGAACCAGAAGCAGAAGTAGCGACGGTTCGGAGAAGCATGATTTTGGTTCGGGTTTGTTTGTTGGGAGTAGTGACAGTGGGTTATGTGACCCTGGGGATGGAGATAGGCGTGTGGGAGTGGGACTAAATGGAGGGTTTGGTGACGTGAGAGCCGTTGGATTGATTGACACGTGGAGGGTTGAGATGTAAAGGTGGGTATGGGCGCGTGGCGTGCTCGTGGTCTAGCTGGGTATGATTGTTGTGCTGTCCCTTGAAATTATGAAATATCTAGAACTAGAATCCTTTATCTCTTACACTATTATTTTTTAGTCCAATTAAGTGGACACTTTTGTTTGCTTGCATTTTCCAGATGTATACCCCAGACAAGACCCAAAAGCCCAACTATATGTATACCATACTACAATAATGAATCGTGTGCTAACAATTTTAATTTTAATTTTAATTCTTTTGGGTGAATCATTTCTTTAAATTGCATTTAACACATTTCTGAAATGAAAAATAAAATCAAAGTCATTTTTTAAATTATAATAATTCTGTATTCAAAGAGACTACATTACTTACCTATTGTGAACTTTTCTTCTGTAAGCTACTCTGAATAAGGTAAAGGCAGATTTTGAGATACTTCCGTCTACAAGTATCCTATATACAAAAAGAAAAAATATATATATTACTTACTTACTACTAACAAAAGTTAAGAATTCATCATTGAAATACTGAAATCTAATTAAAGAATTAACATTTTTTAACAAATACTTTTCTTATAAGCACTTATCAGAGATTGAATTTATGATCACCTGCTTATCAATCACATCTTGCTTGTTGGTGACTTTCATGACTATAAATAAGCCACTCAAAGATGTATTTTATATGAAATTGAAGAAAATATTGTCATTGACACTGCAATGTAAAGCATTAATTTTATTCTGTTCTTAATTTTTTGTTACATAAATTATAAAAATATTGTGTTATTTATTGTTTAAAAATTTAAATTATTCTTAATCAAGCATATATGCATATAGAAACCTCCAGATATTTTAGTAAACTCGATCAAAACTTGAATAATCATATTTTTTTTCCTTCTCTTTTAGATGGCGTGTTCTTCTTAAAATAAAGTCAATACAAACAAAAATTATAACTAATAAAAAAAAAAACATAAAAAAGCATTTGTGTTTTATATTATTACATGTAAGAATGAACATGAACTGGATAGGGTTATATTTATTCTTGTTTAAATTCAATCTAAATTTTTATTCAGATCATTTTCTAAAGTTCAAATCCGACTCGATCCAAACACAAGAATGTATGAATAAGATTAAGGTTATTTGATTTTGTTACATTATATTAACTTTCAACATTAAGTATAGTAAAATTATAAAATACAAAATTTAAATTAAATTATAACTTACAATATATTTTAAAATAAATAATTACATCGTGAATATAGTATCATGTTATAAAAAATATTACTAAATTTTTAATATTATTACATAATAATTAAAAAAAAAAACTTATATTTTATAATAAAATATTACATGTCATAAAAATGTATTGGGTTGAATTTCAAAATTCAAACATAGTTAAATTAATTTTAGGCCTTGTAGACTTATGCTAAAGATAGTAAGTGATTTCACAATTTTTTTTAAAAAGAAATTGATGATTGAGCATGTTTTTATACAAGGTCTTGCCTTTTTATATAAAGGAGTAATGAGATAACTAACACGAGTATTGATTTCATAATTTTCTTGTAATTTTGTTTGCAAGAAAAATAATATAATATCGCCAGGGCATTTAAAGGTTCCGGTCAGGCTGAAAAAAAAGAACATAATCCAATAGGATCTTTGGAAAGGTCTAAGGAGTGGAAGAAACTTGTGTTGTTTTGATTTTTTTGTAGTTAGAGCAACTCCAATGGGAGTTGCTTGTCTCATGAAACAACTCAAACTCCGATTTTTTGTTATTAGAAGATTCTGACGTGGTAACATGAGTTGCTTAAAGAAGAAAGAAAGTTGTTTCCTCAAGCAACCGTTCCTTACCAGATTTCAAGCAGATATTTGAGAACGTTTCGGAAATAATAATGATGTAAAATAATTTCATATAATGTCTATGTATTTATTATTATTTTATTTTATTTTTAATATTTATTTATTGTGTATTTTTTCTTGTAATTTATTTTCTTTAATTGTAGTGCAATTATCCTTTTTAATAAAAAATTAAAATTGGTTAATAAATGATTAGAAAAAAAAATTATAATAAAGTTGAATTTCTTAAAGATTCTTACCATTAGAGTAAATTTGTGTTTAAGTTGCTTAATACTGACATGACACACTAAGGACCACTTTTTTTCATTTTTCAATGCATGAAACAACTCAAATGAGTTGTTTCCATTAGAGATGTCCTTAGGGCTTATTAAAGAAATATGCGAGGGAATAAGTATTTATTCCTCCATTTAAAGAAACCGCCGAAGTTTCCTATATTATTAAAGTTATGAAATTTGAAATATTATTAGTTTTAATATTTATTAAATCGTTATAATTTTATTATTGAAAATATAGTTTAATAAATTAAGAGAGAATTATATTTATAGATTATTATTTATCTTGAAATTTTTTTTATTATTATTAATGTTCTAATTATAAGTTTATTAATATCATTAAAATCATCACATCTAAGATATTGTTCATTTTAACACTCACTGAACTATCTAAAGTTTATCTTTAAAAAGATATTTCAATGAGTTAAGAGAGTAAAATGTTCATAAATAACTTTTAATCTTAACTCTTAAATAATATGAGATTTTTAAACATATTAAAATAAAATATTTGTCAATTATTAAAAGGTACTAATTGTAGAAGGTCCATTTGAATAGACTTTTTATATATAAGAGAAATTTTTTTAAAATTAAAATAATTTTTTTATAAATTAAAACAAACTTATAGGTAAATTAACAAATATTTTATTCTATTATAAGATGGTTGGCTCACTTATTCTCTATCTTATTATATTTCGAACAAATATTTTATTCCGTGTAATTTAATTGAAAACATGTTAATTGAACTTAACATATCGAATGATTTCGTGTCATTTCTTTTAAAATTGATTTTTAAAACTTCAAAGAAATAATAATTAATAAGTTTTTTATTTTTATAAACGACATTTTTTTTTGCCGAAAACAGTATATGTAGATGTCAAATAAAACTACTATGATAGGAAAATGTCTCCAATAGTTTGACTCGATATAAAATTGATAAACAAAATTTAAATTATTTGTTTATTAATTATATTTTAATTATTTAAATAAAAAATAATAGTAAATCCTTAAGTAATACAGCGATCAGTGATATAAAGTTTGTGTTGGAATTTGGTAGACAATGGATTAATCCAATGAGGCAAATCAAGAATTTGACCGAGAACATTAATGTTCTAGGGACATGCAATTTGGAGTGTCAAATTGAGGTTTATCAATAAAACAAAGTCACTAATGCCTATATAAAATACGGACCTTACGTGGAATATCTATGATTAATTGATCGATGACAGTCATGAATGGATTAAAAACATATTAATCAATATTAGAACAATAACATGTTAAGCAAAAGTTCCTATCACATATGATATTTGTATTTTTTAATTAAAGATTAAAATTTGATTAATTTTAAATATAAAATCATAATAAAAAAATATTACTTTATTTCTGGTATGGATTAATATTGATATGATAAAAAGAGTTATACTTTTTAGTTATAAAAAATAAAAGACCAATAACATGCTAAGACATAATTCTACAAAATGTAGAGAAAATAAAAGAGTCGTTAAAATATGTTAAATTTTGAGTCTTTCTCTATTTTTATGTGAGATAGTGTTATTCTGTGTATGTTCCATATCCTTTGTTCCACAACATTGATATAAAAATGGTCGGTAAGTATTGCTCGTTGAACATAGTATTTTTACCTCAATTTTGTTGCAAGAAGACACATATCATATTGAATATTTTATATTAGTCAATTTCTATTATTAAAACTCTATTTGAACAACTAAAACAAATTTTCCAATTTCAACCAAATATATTGTAATTATTTTTCATTAAATTGAACTTTTTTTTTTAAAATGTCACAGATAGGGATTGATGACAAAATACACCAGCCTAACTTAGTACAAGTATCTAGTTGATGTAATAATAATAATAATAATAATAATAATAATAATAATAATAATAATAATAATAATAATAATAATGATAATAATAATAATAATAGTTATAAGAATGTAAAACTAAAAAAAATACAAAAATAACAATATGCATCCACAACTATGTCAAGTTAAAACTCAAAATATTGTAATGTAGTGATATAAATTATACTTAGAATGTGTTTGTTTCACGAATTTTGAGAATATAATATTTTCATATTTGTTATGAATTTTTTTAATTTAAATATTTTGAGGTATATATGGATCTTTCTCATGAAAATAATTACGCTATAATTTGCTTTATTTCCATCATGACAATGAAAAAGTTTTATTCTTATGAAAATGTGAAAAGTTATCTTTTAAGTTCGTTAAAACTTTCATTTCATCTCTTATTTTTATTTTAATTATTTTAAAATTATAAAATATTCCTAATAAAGTTAAAATCAAACCAAACAAATTTCTAAATGTTCCACAAATAACATTTCTTATTATAATATCCTGAAAATATTATTATTAGAAATGCAATATTTGAAATACTCTCTTCTAATTTTTTATTCTCTTTTTGGTAAAGGCTTGCTTTTATCTTTAAAATGTACTAGTGGATAAAAGACATGATGTGTCTTTCTTTAAATACATCCAAACTAGTAGAGGAAATAAGTTATTAATAGATTTTAAAAAGAAAAACTATCAAAATACTTTTATGTCATTTATTAATTATTATTGTATAATTTTTAAAATTTTAAAATTGTCAATAATAGTATATGTATTAAAACAAATAATATAGATAAAAAGAGAATTGCATAATACTTCATTTTCATCTAACTTCTCACCATCACTTGAAGTATAATATAACAATTTTATTTAACACTTCACCATGTGTCTAATTTCTATCAAAGACAATTATATTTTGTATTTTT